TATTGCAGCTTTCCATTCCTACAGCGGTCTGGGGGACACCAAGAATTAGGCAATAGCACCATGCCCCGTCTCTCGTCCAGCAAATGGAATACTCCTTCAGATATGAGAAGGAACAGACAACCCTCATGAGGAGTAGCCACTGATAGCCTTACTTTCTATGAGTTTATCTACTTCTGTAGTGGCCACCACTACATCCTGCAGCAACAAATTTTGTAGTTTAACTATGTGCTATGTAAAGGACCTCCTTTTCATCTGTCCTGAATCTTCCATCATTCAATTCAATGGCCTGACCCACAGTTCTAATTCCAGGAGAGGGAAAAAAATGTCCCCCTATCCACCATACTTAATTTGATACATCTCTAACCTGCGTCTCTTTATTTGCATTTTAAAAGCTAAATAGTCTCAGCTGTGATCATCTTTCCTTACACTACGGTTACTCCAGACCATTGATCATTTTGGTTACCCTTTTCTACACCTTTTCCAGCTCGACAATACTCTTTTTGATCAGAATGGCATGGAATTTGCCTTTGACATAGCAGCCAAGTGAGTTGATTGTTTCATTAATTAGTCCATCATAAACCCAATCTCATTTGCTTGGTCAGTCATGGCTAGCTCAGAACCCATCAGGATAGACATGAAGTTATTTTTTGGCCCGACTTCCATAGGTCTACTAACCTGCATTTGACATTTTAATGCCTCAGTCTGGAGAGACCCTTTGGAGCTCTTTACAATCTCTTTTTTGTTTGAACCACCCCAAATAAGATTATGTCATGATCAGTAAATGTGGCAATATCACTGCTTATTCCAAATCCAGTTCATTTATTCACTATCTAAGCACTGGTGTCAATACAAAGCCACTGTACACCACAGGGTCTCCACTGTTCATCTCCAACCATAGTGAGAATTTACCATTTATCACTACTCTGTTTTCTGTTCTTTAACCAGGTACTGATCCTAAAGAAATGGACTTCTCTTATTCCATGACTACCAACTTTGTTCAGGAGTCTTTGGTGAGGGACTTTGTAAAAAAAAAAACATTTGGAAGTTCAAGTAAACAATGTCTACTGGACCAACTCCGCCCATATGTTTTATTTTATCGGACTTATAGCCTACTTTTTCTCTTTTAAAGAACTCACAGTGGTTTACATCATTTCATGCTAAAGTATTAAAACCAACCTTTCTGACCTCCTATGACCAAATAACCTTTTTCCTTTTTTAATGGATCAGAAACATATGTGAGAAATATTGCATAAGTTCAAACAGCATCTACTGTGGAGAAACGGAGGAGTTTTGGGATACACCAAAGCACTGTCCGGTGGATTAGGGCATGGTTGACTGACCGAAAGCAGAAAGTAAGCATCAGTGGAGAATCATCAGGATGGCGGCCAGTGACAAGCGGGGTCCCCCAGGGCTCTGTCCTGGGGCCGATCCTGTCTAATCTTTTCATCAATGACATGGAAGAAGGGGTGAACAGTCTGCTGATCAAATTTGCAGACGACACTAAAACTGGAGCAGTGGTCACAACTGAGGAGCAGGTACTCCAGATTCAAAAGGATCTGGACAGACTGTGGAAGTGGGCAGGAGACAACAGGATGGCATTCAATGTGGATAAGTGCAAGATCTTGCACTTGGGGCATAGGAATAGCTGTCATAAGTGCAGGTTTGGTGACAAGTGGCTGGAGAGCAGCACTTGTGAAAGGGACTTCGGGGTACTGGTTGACTGCAGGCTAAACATGAGTCAGCAGTGTGATGCGGTGGTCAAGGGGGCGAACGCCACCCTTATTTGCATAGCCAGAAGTGTGGCTTCTCGATTAAGAGAGGCATTACTACCACTCTACATGACTCTAGTGCGCCCGCAACTGGAGTATTGTGTTCAGTTTTGGGCCCCTCATTATAGAAAGGATATAGCCAGGTTGGAGTCAGTGCAGCGTAGGGCCACAAGGTTGGTGGCCGGTTTGCAGGGGATGGGGTATGAGGCGAGACTGAGGGAACTGGGTCTCTTCAGCCTGGAGGAGACTCAGAGGGGATATGTTGGCGACATACAGGTATGTGAGGGGATGTCACATGGAGATAGGTAGAGACCTGTTCTCCCCTGCAGAGGAAGGCAGGACACGCTCCAACGGAGCAAAGCTCAGGGAGCCAAGGTTCCATTTGGATGCCAGGAAGCACTTCCTGACAGTCAGGACCCCGAGGGTGTGGAATGGGCTTCCCCGGGAGGTCGTTGAGGCCCCATTGGTGCGGGTGTTCAAGGACAGGCTGGACGTCCACATGGTGGGCATGTCGTGAGTGGAGCCAGCTGGTGCCGGAGGTCAGACTAGATGGCCTGGGATGCCCCTTCTGACTTGCTCTGTTTCTATGTTTCTATGAATTCCACCACACAATGGTATGTTGTGATGAAGAAGTCAGTCCTTCTAACCCAAAATGAGTTTAAAATTTTCTCCCTTTCTTCTATGGCAGAGTTGTGGAATCTTTGGCCTTCCACTTGTTGTTGGACTGCAAACTCTGTCAAATTCTGTCCTTGACCATTAGCCTGCCAGCATGGCTAATGGTCAAGGAAGTTGGTTGCGTTAGTCCAGCAACATCAGCAGGGCCACCGCTTGAGCTGAGATGCTAGATAAGGACAATGGATACCAATGTGCTAAATAAACTTTCTCTTAGCTCTTTTGGTGTGCATATATTAGTTGCACACTCAGGAGGGCTCTAGTACATCATTTCTAAACCATTTAAAATCCATTTTTTTGCAAAAACTATGTGGCACACAGGCCTGGTGAGTTGTTTTGTGGAAACATGATGAATTAGTCCAGATGGGCACAGACTGTATGTATTCTTCTGTTATATGGCTTAATTTGCTTAAGATGTTTCAGGATGGAAGGTTCTGCTTCTGCTCAGGGTGCTGAAATCAGAAAGGCCTTTGGTCCATCTCATTCCTAGCCATGTGAGATAAAAATTAATAGGATGTATATGATGTAAGAAAGTCCAGACAGTAATTAGGAAGCTGCTGTCAGACCATTTGGTCTCCTATCCCACTATCTCTGGGGTCTTTTCTATCCCTTGCTACCTGACCCCTTTAACTGGAGAGATCAGGGACTGGGATTGGCACCTTCTCCATGTAAGACAGGCATTCTGCTGCCAAGCTACAACCCCTGCCTAATTGGAAAAGTGGGCTGATTGGGAAATCTTGCTGGTGGACAGAGGATGAAGGCCTTTACTATGGGGTCTGGGCGCTTTTGGGGAGGGTGGGAACAGTCTTTTCTCTCTGTTTTGCGACACTCACAGACACTGTTATCTCAATAAAGTAATTTGTAATTAAATGGCAGGTGCCTCGATTTTTCAGAAGATAGTTGTTATATGATCAAATGCCATTCTTTCTTTTATATGATCAAAGGCAAAAAGTAGATATTCAGTTTGAGGAATGGAAGTGGGCCCAAAATATATTTTGGATTTCCTGTCCTCTGGATTTATGGATACTGAATGCAGGCATGGTTGCATTGTTAACACCGTGGGCCTATGAGGCTGAACAGTGCATTCTAAACATGCAATTAGCACTCATTTCCACTCACAAACAGGGGCCAGATATGCCCTGCTATAGTCACTTCTCCAAGGGTTGCCAACCGTCCAGAAAAGCACAGATATGAACCCAGGCCTGGCCTGGCCTTCTCTCGTACCTTTAACTGCAGCACAACCTGGAGAGAAGCTTTTCCCGGTTGTTGGAGGTGGAGCTGCTTCAAAACAGCATGTCTACATGGACTGGGTGAAAAGTTGGCAGCCCCTGGCCTCTGTGCACTCACGGTTCCATGCAGGGGAGAGATTGAGGGCAAGGTTAAAAGTCAACTTCAGGCGCACAGCAAGCCCAGGACTGCCTGATCAAATTATGGTGAAAATGTACGGGGGGGGGGGGGCGTCTGAATGAAATGCACACAGAAGACCCTCTGATTTCTCCTAATTTCGGTCAGATCACGCCCACTGTAGCCTTCCAAAAACGGCAGCGAGGCAGAGGACCGCCGGCCCACTCACCGCAAGTCAAGCACTGCCACGGTGCCGGGTCGGGCCCCACGCCCTGGCCACGATTGTGCAGGTACCAGCCCGGCACTCCGCGCCTGTTTGCATTTCTGCAGGTCGCTTCCTAAACTTAGGCCACAATCCCGAGCTTGCGGAAGCACTGCTCCCGGGCACGTAAAGCCGAGCGGCAGGAGGATAAGCGTTCTCCCCGCTGGTCAATGTTTTCCTTTCTTGTAAGTGACATTGCCTACTTTCGCCTGTACGGCGTAAAGCCATAATTTATTAGGGGACAGGGAAAGCCACCATTTTCCCTCCCCTGCCCCCACCCCGCTCTTTCTGCTGCCTGCAAACGAGCAAGGGGGCGGGGTGGCGGTAGTGATGGCTCTCAGTAGTGAGTTTGGAGGAGCGCGGGGCGGCGGGGGGGCAAGAAGAGAGTATAATACACCAGCACCATTGTCATTCAACAGCACTCCCTGCCTCCTCCCCCTTAATAGCAATACTTCAGGTACAAGCACCGCTCCTACCACCATCTTTTCCCGTTCGCGCGACCAAGGGGTGTGTGTGGGGGGGGTCGCCTGCTGATAAAAGATGAAGACCAGAGATCGAGGAGGAGGGGGAACGCGATCCGATGGGGAAAGTAGCAGAGAGGGATCCCCCTCCCTCGCTTCGTCCCCCTGAGGAGGGTGGAGGTGGGGGCGGAATAAAGGATGGAGATTTTTTTTTGCAACCCCCCCCTCTCCCCAAATGCAATGGCTCCATCACGCCCCTGGAAAGAGAAAGGGGAAGCGGCGGCGGCGGCCAACCTTGTTTTGGGGGTGGGGGTGGAAGACAAGACGGGTGGGGGATGGAGAGGAGCGGCGAAGGGATGGGCCCCGCGGGAGAGGCTGGGCCGGCGGAGGTGGGGGAGGTTTGCCGGGATCGAGGCCCACGGATCGCTCCCCCCGCCTCGCCCGGTTCCTTGCCCTCCCTCCCGCCTCCCCACCCCCACGGGCAGTACTCACCCTGGCCGGCCAGTGCGGGTAGCCTTTCATTTTGGCGAACACCAGATCTCCGGCTTTGTATTCTCGGGGCCTTGGACGAGCCATCGGGTCCAGCCCTCCCCTCCCCGTCTCCAAGTCCGAGGCAACCCCCAGCACCGCGGCCAGGCCTTCCCCTTATGCCCCCGATCCTGCAAACTCTGGGGAGGGAAGGAGAGGGAGGGGTGGGTGAGAAAGAGGAGAGGATGCGATCGCCGCGCCTCCCCGCCTCCCGAAAGCGAAAAGGGGGGGAAGAGCACGAATTATAAAGCGATCGGTTCCGGAGAGAAGGACCGGGCCCCGGGCACCGCGGCAGCAGAAGCGGCGACGGCGGCAGGAGGAGGAGAAGGAGGTGGAGGAAAGAAGAGGGGCGCCCGTGTGTGTGTGAGTGTGAGTGTGTGTGTGAGTGTGTGTGCGCGCGCAAAGGGGGGAGGGGGCGGCCCTGGACTGAGCAGCAGCAGCGCCCGAGAATCGAGGGATCCGGCAGGCTGGCGGGGCTAAGAAAGGCTGGGGGGTATTTGGGAGGGGGATCCAGGGGAGGCGGAGATCCCCCTCCCCCAGCCCTGGCTTGGTAACAATGTTGCCAGAAGAAGAATGCAGCCAGCGCCGCCGCCGCCGCCGCCGCCTCCCGCCGCGCCGAGCTCGCTACATCCCCGACCTCGGCGCGCTGCTGGTGCAGCGGCGAAAAAAATATGGATCCTTCTCTTCCAAAATTATTCGGGCAGCGACCGAAAACAGGATCTGCCCCGCTCCACACACGCCCTTTCTCCCTCCCTCACTCTTTCTTTCTCTTTTTTAAATTGCTTGCTGCCTACTTTCCCTTCCTGTTATTTTCTAGGTACGCGGATCGGTTTCTATGAAAACAGAAACGGCGCACGCGAGAGAGGAGCGCCGAGAAGGTCGTTCCCCCCGCGCGCGCACACGCACACAAAGACGCGGCGCGGGGAGACGGGGTGGGAGCGGGTCGGCTCGCCTTTCCCTGGACGCGGACGCGGAGGAGGAACAGAGAGGCCCGCGGTGGAACGTTGCTGGATCTTGCCGTTTAATAAAATGGTTTTTTTTTTTTTTTAGTTTTATTGCAGGCAAAAGAAAAATGCCGCTTTTCCTGCCTGGACGCACAAAGGAAGTCACGGAGGAAAAAAATAAAAATAACGCGGTGTCCCTGTTAACAACAGGCGACCTGAATATTGGCAGAAATTGGCCATTGTTCTGTTCCAAAATGGGAAATGGGGGAGAGAGCAGAGAACTGCTAGGCCCCTCTGAATTCTCGGGTGGAGAGAGGCTGTTCTCTGTGAAAGGCCTAATAAACTTGCAGCCTCAAGAACCTCATTGGACTGAGGATGTGCGAGAGAAAGGCACAAACCCACCAGCCAGATTTCCCTCCCTCCTTCCTTCCTTTAAAGGTCTGGACAGATTTTCATCCTCTTGTCCAGTTGCTAGAAAAGGATGGAAAGCCTTGGGGAGAAAATGGAAAGGCCTGGGTAGAGTTTTTTCTGGATGGACATTTCAAAAAAGGGGTAAGGAGTTACACACACAGTCTCATCCACACACCTACCCGAAACATTTGTTGTTTGGATTCTTTGGCCTCTGCTTTGGCAGCCAGGGGTGGAGAATACTTGGGGAGCAGGGAAATGTGGCTTTGAGTTGCTAACATCCTGTAACACTAAGACAGTATGGATGAGGAGCATTTGGTATTTTAATAGTTATGTATATTCTGTAAGATGCATTAAAATAAATTGATGCCTTTCAAGGTCAATCTTCACTTTCCACAGGTTCAGAGAACCTCTGTCTACATACATCAATACTGCAGCTCTTCTTGCATCCGAAGGAAGGGATGCTAGGTACATACACAGGGATGCTTTGAAACATTTTCCCCTAAGGTCATTTTTTTAAATAAAAAATGCCTCCCAGGCTTGGGAGAAATCTCAACCCCAGATCAGCCCAGAATTAAAGGCCAGACTCAGACTCAGTAAATAGCTGGCAAAGCACTTCACACAGGCATAATTTTAAGCCCCTTCCTGTGTATATGGGCTTGTGTACACCACTTATGATGCCTTGCAGTTGTTTTGGACTTCAGCTCTCATCAGCTACCACTAGCTTGGCTAGTGGTAGGGGATAATGGGGGTTGTATTCCAAAACTTCTGGAGGGCACCATCTTGGAGAAGGCTGATTTAATGCTTTTGTGTTTCCCCTCAAAGAATCCTGGGAATGTGTTTGTCAAGGGTGTTCCTGTTACAGGTCTTTTGCACTGCCCCCAGAACTACAGTTCCCAGGATTCCCTGGGAACAGGAAATGCTTTCGATCAGTTTCATGCTACAATTGTAAACAGATTTATTAGGCACTAAGTCAAAGACAGTGGTTCTTAATTCTTAGTAAACATGTTGCAAAGCTGTGGGGTACACAGGCCTCAAAAGAGAACTGATGGTCTGGGCATTTTTCCTGAAACATCAAGTGACCTGAAATTGACAGGTTGCAGCAATTCTGTATTCATCTTTATTCCTCATCTTTGAAATGGAACTCCTAGCAGCGAAGTTTGCCAAATGCTGCGATGGAGATGAGTGAGAGGTAGCTGTTTTTGTATACACATTTAATGCTTTTCACAATATTTGAGTTGCTGAAGCAAATGGATATTATTAATCACATTTTCCTAGACTGAGCTTGCTTGGGACAGGCAAATCTGGCCCTACCTCCCCACCCCCACCAAAACTATTGAATTTTCTACAGAGATGGGATGGATATGGTAGCTGATACTTAATCTAAAAGGCAAGGGAGAAATACGTTGTCACATCTCTTTAGGGAGCTCAAGGAGCTGACACCCAACAAGTCCTGCTTCTGCGTTGTACTCTTGTAGACTGGGGTGGTCCAGTGGCTTGTACCAACTCAGATGGTATGTGGAGGAAACCACTTTTGGATTCCCCCACCATGTGCAAATCAGGGACTGGACTGGGCTGGAATCTTTCTCCCCAGTATGCCAAGGTTGTGTTGCTTTCCTTTCACAGAATCATATAATAGTCAAGCTATTATATTGGAAGGGACCAATAAAGCCATTGCAGCCAGTCCCCCTGCTCAATGCAAGATCCCTTTCCTTGCCTAAGTTCTATTTTTCTTTTAAAGTGTTGGACAATGTCAGTATCTCTTACCTGAAACCAGTGCTGTAGGGTAAGGTCTTTATGGATGAGAGATGTGAAGTAAGCTGCTCACTTGCAGACGTGTTGGTCTATCTTGGTGATGGGAATTATAGTCCAACGCAACTGGGAGGCTCCGGGCTGGGGAGGCTGGTCCGAGGCATGGGGAAGGTGTTCTCTAAGACCATCCAGTTAGGATCGACTTGGGTTAGTCCCAGACGGCCTGGAGCATCACACTTGCCATTCCGTTCTGTACATGAGAGTTGACGGGATGTCCCACTGAAAAACAAAGGAAGCATGTTTTTGTCTTCTGAATTATTCTTTTTCTCAGAATAATTCAAATCTGTAGAGATTTGATTAATTGATTTTGACTCGATTGACTTAATTAAGCTCATACAATGAATCAGCTAAGGGCTTCACTGCACATTAAGCTGACTGTGTTGCTCCAGCTCCCTTTTTATTCTTAATTCATTGCAGGCATGAGGAAGGAAAGATCTTTGTTGGAAATTATTATTATTATTATTATTATTATTACTATTACTAATAATTTCTGTGGTGGCCCACAGCCAGTGTTGCCTGAGCACTTTACAGTAATACATAAAACAGACAATAAAATGCAACAATATTTATTTATTATATTTATATCCCACCTTTCTTCATTGCGGAACTCAAGGTAGCCACAGGCGGTCTCCCCTCCAAGTTCAAGCCAGCCTCAGACTTGCTTAGCTTCAACAGGGTGGATGCCTTATATGTTCTCAGACCATAGCCTGGCCTATAGTATATGAAAGGCCATAAAATGCAATGTGTGTGAAGGGAAGGGGTATCTCCTCCTTCCCTGTAGTACCTGAAATGAACATCTAGCATCCTTAGGGGACAATGTTCCCATTGGCACAAAGGGACTCTTTCCCCCGCTAAGTGGACTCGCCACTTTGGCAGGCACACAATATTGCAGCCTGCATTTGTGGGGGAAGAGGTAGCCCTCTCCCTTCCCATGTATTCTTGGTGAGAATTGTCCTATTGCATCAGGAATTAATTACAGTAAAAAAGGTGACATAGTCACACATGACACATCAGATGCAATGTGTATTTTGGCCCTGAGATTTCTTCAGTTTGAGAACCTCGATGTCCACAGTTCCAAAGTTTTATCAGGGTGTGTAACCCTGTGTCGTCCAGACACTTAAGACTACAGCTCCAATAATTCTCAGCATTGGCCATGCAGAGGTGACCAAGACATGAAGTTTAGGTCTGGATGTGTGTAGTTATGAAGTCAGACATCCCCTGCAATCTGGAGCCCTCCGAGTGCCTCCAAGAAGAGGTTGTGGGGATGGCAACTTGCGGGAGGCCTTCTCCTTGGTGGCCCCGCCAGTCACTCGGAGAGCCTCTCCCGGGTGAGGCCGACACTGTAGCTTTCCAGTACCAGCTTAAGACTTTCTTCTACTCTCAAGCATTTGACAACTTATGGTAACATATGATTTTATTGTTGGTTGTGCAAAATTGTTTCATATTTTTGTATGTAGATTGTTTTGCTTTACTGTTTACTTATGTATTACATTTATTCACTTTTTTCTTTTGCAAGGAACTTAAGGTGGCATCTTTCTATTTTACCCACACCTCTGAGGTAGATTAAACTGAGTCAGGGTTTGGCCGAAGTCATCCAGCTTGCCATAAATTGCTCAGAGAGCTTTAGCTAATGGACAGTATAGGAATATAAATAATTTCTTCATTATTAGATTTTTATCCCACCCCATTAGCCATAACGAGATGAGATGTGGGGGCAGACAAATGGGTGGAGAAATATGTTAGGCTGTGGCGTATGCTCAGTTCTCAACGCTTGCAGTAACCGGGGCCAGGAGCAGATTCAGCTTCTTGCTGAGCTCTTGAACATGCAACCAATCATTCCTGCCACAGCTGGCTCTGTGGGGAGCCAGAGTGGAGCAGGGGTTAAGAGTGCTGGATTGGGACTCAGGTGGTCGGGGTTCTATTCCCCACTAGCCATGAAAGTGTCTGGGTGACTTCAGGCCGGGAACAGTCTGTCAGCCTAACTTACCTCACAGGGTTGTTGCTGTTGTGAGGGTAAAATGGAACACAGGAGAAGTTTGTAAAGTGCCTTAGGTTTCTTGCAAAAGGAAAATGGTAGAGTATAATTGCAATGTATTATTATTATTATTATTATTATTATTATTATTATTATTATTATTATTATCAGGGCTTTTTTGTCATAGAACGCACCGGAACGGCATTCTGGC